AACAACTGGGTTTGTTGTTGTATTAGTTCAACCCCATCTTAATTGTTTATTTCTGTTATACAAAGACTACGTGATCTAGACACATATGTAAAATTTTGAAAAACATCAATCAAATCTCATTTCCCCTTGCATTTTATGTGGTACAATGGAACACAAGAAAATTCTTTTACTTATGATATTTAGAATCTATCTAGTATGGTGAGAGTTCTTTCAGGATGTCTACATACAAATATTCATACAAGAATGGAAATGAATTAGAACAAACCCCGGTGAAAGTTCATCATCAAATATTACAGTCTCAACTCCAAAGGCACGGATTGCACTCTTTACTTCTGCCACTTTGCCAGATCCTATATACGTCCTAGGATTTGGAGTGGATAGTCTGCAAAATGAGAAGAAATAAGCAGGCAAAGTTTGCACCACAACGAATCAAGCAGTTAACAGAATCTCCAGAATCTGAGCCCTCTTCTCAGTTGCTAAAAAAGTGAATTGGGAGAAGATTCAAGTTCATACTCACTTTTGAAATGTAGAGCCAACAACCACTAGACCAGCAGTGTCAGCCAGTTGAGCCAGCTCTTTCAGTGATTCCTCAATGTCAAATGAATCATCCCTGCTGCTTTTGCAGGCAACTCCTACTAAGTAGGCTTTCTCCTCAAAACCCTATATTTTTCACGATTTAGCCAATAAGTGGTGCACCCATGATGCCATTATTTCGTTTCCCCATGGAAATCTTGAAAACATCCAATTCATCCTAGAGCAAAAAGATTGAGTAAATTTCGAAGTAAATCTGGAAACTTTGAAAAACTAACCTCGCCAGTTCTCTTCACCGTAGGCCTTTGAGCATTTTCTTCTGCTTCGACACTTGCATCATCTACATTGAACCCTTGTAGATGACCAGCAACTTCGTCTTCACTACCGGCCTTGATCACAGGGTTGCGAACGGGAAAAGAATCGTCCGGAGATAAGACTCCGATTCCATCTTCAAAAGCTCTAAGAAAACCAGGAGAAACGTGCTTTGTTCGCCGCTAATCGTGTATTCAATGGATGCCCATAATCGAGAAAGCAGATATTGGGAGTGGCGAGTGAAGGGTTTAGAGAAATCAAATGGGGAAGACACCCCTGTCGATCAAAATAGTTCGATTTCTCCCCCGATCGAAATAGCTCAAACCCTTCTGCAACTTTCCCTTTCCCAGCGGAAAGACGGCCGGAAACCCTCTCGCTCTCAAATCACTCGCTCTATCTCTCCCGTGCGGCAACGGAATTGAAACTTTCCCTTTCAAAATCTCTCTCTCTCTTTCTCTCCCTTGTGCGTAAGCGGTGCTCACGTAAAACAATAACAATGCAGGAGATTGCAGCTCAGCGGAGATGCATGGGCAATTGGAGTGGGGTGTACAAATATATATAGAAAATAGTTAATGCATTTTGTTTCAATGACTAGAGTTGACAAATCAGTCGTTCAGGTCGGGTTCGGTCATTTAAAGTTTGGGTTATTTTGGGTTCGGGTTTAGATTGAGAACTGTATGTTCATGACCCAGTGTCATCGAGATCGGGTCGACCCAACGGGTTATGACTTTGGTTTTTTAAATTTTTAAATTCACATTAACACTTAAATTTTCTATTAAATAAATTTAAAATATCAAAAAAAAAATTAATCTACAAATTTATTTTATTTGAAACTCTAAAGTAGTTTTTAGATATATAAATCAATATAAGAGATTTAAAAATGCTTAAGTTTTGGAAAAAAGTAAGATAATTATGTAATATCATTAAAATTTTGTTTGAAAATATAAATTTATACACTAAAAACAAGTAAAAAAGTGTATAATTTTGAAAAAATCTTACTTTAGCGGGTCGATCATGTCGGGTTCGGGTTCGGTCGGGTTTGACCCATTTTTAGCGGGTCATTTCGGGTTCAGTCATCAAAACCTTTGTTCAAAACCCAGTGTTTTCAGGTCGGGTTTTGGGTCAAAAACAGGTCAGGTCACTTTTTGCCGGGTCTAGTAGTAACTAAGGGATATTCCATCAAATATTTTGTTGTAATGACTGGGAAAGGATATTCTATCTAATATTTCATTTTGTTGTAATGACTGGGAAGGAATACACCATCCAATATTTCATCCATTAATGTTAATAAAAATATTCTTTCCTATTTTTTCCTTAATGTTTTATGATAATAATTCTTAGGTTTTTTTTTACTTTTTTATTTATCTTTTTTTACTCTTTTTTAAAGTTTTTTTAGCATTTATCTATAAAATCGTATAAAAATTCAAAAATGTATGATATAAAAATAAATGAAATAAAAAATTTTCTAAAAAAGAAAAAACTGAGTAATGGTAAAATGGGGAAAAATACATTTATTAATGTTATGAATAAAGTATTGGATGAAATGTCCCCTCTAAGTCATTACAATAAAATGTATGGATCTCTGTTGTTTTTTTTGAAAATAGAGGGGTTTGAGAGTTATTTCTACAAAACTCGTGTCACTCGTATGTAATTTTCTGCCATTATATTCGGCCTATTTGAGAAAGCGTAATTAATTTTAAAAAAAATCAAAATTAATCAATATCATTAAAAATTATTTATATTTATAATATTGACGTTACATTTATTGAATTCAATAGGGAGTATAATATTTCTCTGGTCCATAAAAAATCATTTCTTATCTTATTATTTTTTTTACTTTGATCTGTTCTGTTCATTAATACTACAAGTTTTATGTGTTTTATATATATATATTTTTCACATCAAAATAAAAGGCAAGCGTGCAACAAGCTACGCCACTAGCCCCTTTTTAATAGCAAAACTATGTCTTTTGAAAACTACATTGGGCGAGAAAATCAATGGTGTCAACTGCAAATGGTATAAACACATGTTACTTGTCGAGGCATGCTCTCTCGTGTTTGGTCACCATGCATGAAGCAATTTTCAGCGCAGCGTGGCCCACCGTGAAAACACCAGTCTCCAAGCCTACAAGAGGAAAAACTCATGTTAAATTCACACAAGCATGTTTCTTGTTTATCCATCCAAAGACCAAAATATCAACTAGTCTAAAGTATTGATCTTCATTCCAATAGGGCAGTCAAGAAATTTTGGTGTTTCTTTCTTAACAGAAATCCCAGTGCGCCAGAATATGTCAAAGAGAACGTCTCTAACCAAATCATGGTGACACTTAAGTCTTTGTGGCTCTGTGTAATGTACTTCATGCTACCCAAATGGATCCAAACACACCTTGCAACGAAGAGAACATTTCTCATGCATCAACCGAAAATAAATGAATTATGAGTAAATTCACTTCCCGATATTTAATTATTCAATTCCCAAAATCACGTACTCCATGCTCATCATATTTAATTTTTTTATTTTTGTGGAATAATAAACTTTTTAACGTAAAGTTTTTATTAAATAGATGTTATCATTTCTTAACATTTTCATGAATTTTAACCATTCAAAGTTATTTTTCAAGAAAACTTTAGCGAAACTGAATGAAGTATTTTGAAATCTTTCAAAAATAGAGAAGTTCTGTGGTTCCTTCTCACACAATTTTTTGACTTTTTCATTTAAAAATGTGTATCTCAATACTTGAAAAATGTTTATATAGCAAATATGAAAGTCAACCATTTAGACACTATGAACCTTAGGTCCGGACCATAAAAATATTGCACGTGTGAGCAATTCAGTTATGATTAACCAAAATACGGAATACTACGTA